AGGTAGAGATAACTGCAGCAGCAGCAGCAGCAGCAGCAACAGCAGCAGCAGCAGCAGCAGCAGCAGCAGCAGCAGCCCAGGATAAAAGCTTTAAGGGAAGGGGTTTAGAGCTACCTATACACCGCAGCAAACAACCAATTCAAACTTATATCAGCAGCAGCAGCAGCAGCAGCAGCAGCAGCAGCAACTGCTGCTGCTGCTGCTGCTCTTGCTGCTGCTGCTGCAGCTCTTGCTGCTGCTGCAGCATTTAGTTTATAACAGCTTTAGGCAGGAGCCACTGAGGACTGCCTCAGCTCGTCCCGCTGCTGCTGCTGCTGCTGTTGCTGTTGCTGCTGCTGCTGCTGCTGCTGCTGTTGCTGCTGCTGTCGCTGCTATTAGTGTTACAACTGTTGCTGTTGCCTTTGCTGCAGCTGTTGCTGCTGCAGCTATTGCTGCTGCTGCTGTTGCTGTTGCTGCTGTTGTTGCTGCTGCTGCACTTGCTGCTGCTTATATTGCTGAGCGGATGCACTGCTGCTGCTGCAGCAGCAGCAGCAACAGATACAGCTGCAGCAGCAGAGCCCCACTGCTGCAGCAGCAGCAGCAGCAGCAGCAGCAGCAGCAGCAGCAGCAGCAGCAGCAGAATATGATTTATTGTTTAAGAGGCCGCCAGATGTATTTGTGTTTCAAAAGAGAAAAAAAAAGAAGAAAAACAGAAAAAGAAAAAAGAGAAACAACACGACAAGCCCCCGCTACACCCAGCTGTCTGTACACCCCAAACATAAACACATAAACACACACACAAACAACAGCTGCTGCAGCAGCAGCAGCAGCAGTAGTAGTAGCAGCAGCAGCAGCAGCAGCAGCAGTAGCAGCAGCAGCGGTTGCAGGAGAGAGAAAAGAAAGGAGGAGATAGAGACAGAGATAGAGACAGAGATAGAGAAAAAAGAAAAAGAAAAAGGAGACAGAAAGAAAAAACAAAAGAGACAAAAGGAGACAAAAAGAAAGAGACAAAAGGAGACAGAGAAAGAAACAAAGAAAGAAAAAGAGAGAGA